GTGGGTACCATTCACTCTTTCTTCTGAAGGTCTCATTTTCTACCAACAGTTGTTTTTCCATTTCTCCACTTTAATCTCTTTTCTTGCTCCTCTTCTCTTTGCTTTTCTTCTCGTCTGTGGTCTTTTTCACCCAGTTTGCAGTTGGCCATTGTCAGTGTGTTGGACACCTTCAAGTATATCTCTCTCAGTCTGTCCTCTCTTTGTTTTCTGTGTACCATCCATATTTTTTTTCCATCTTTCCATTTCTTGCTTCTTTTCTTGCCTCATCTTTGGCCCCTCTCATATTCATTGGTATCATGGGAGCCTTCACTTCCCTTATTCATCACCCATGGCGGGCATCCTTTTCTTTGACTGTTTATATCCGTTAACCTATTACATCATTTTTCCTCTTCTCCTGCTCCTCTCTTGTTACAGTAGCTTCCCAGTTGGGAGGGAGACTTGTCTTCTTGGGATCTGATTTCTTTCTCACACCCACTCATTGTTGGGTATGTTTGGCTTATGTGGTCACTGGGTTTTACACTTCTTGTTCTTACCCTGTGTGAGAGGTTCTTACAGACATGATTCCATACAGTACTCTCATGCCACAGCTGGCATGAAACCTGTAGAAACTGAAGGTAAGGAGGTGAGCACAGATACTTATCACAAGTGTCCTTCTCCCACAGCTGATTTTGACCTGTTGAGTCTGACAATCAAAGTGGTGAGCACACAAGATATGGACTGAATGAGCCCCAACCTTGCTACACATATTGGCTATCAGATGGCTTGTGTGCAAGTACATGGATGGCCATATACCTTCTCCACCCATCTTTGCGACACAGTTATGGCTTCTTTGCCTCTTCCATTTTCTTATGTGGGTGAAGAGTATACCCTAGATGAGATGAAATGTGATCATCCTTGAGTGTCTTTGTACCTGTCCCTTCACCATCGCAATGTGGTATTGTAGCTAATCTGAATGAAAAGGCAAGTATTCTTATCAGAAGTTAATATTTTATTATTTCCTGAAAATATATTTCTTATAGACACCTTTATCACATTCCCACAGATCTTCCTCACTTTCCTTTGCACATTTCTTCATTGCCTCATTGAAGAATGAGGATTCATGTGCACGAAATGTAGGGGGAGTCATTATGCATGGAGGTGTATTGCACTTCTATTAGTGGAGGGTTCTGCTGCATGATGATATGATTATGCAGTAACACAAATTCATGTGGTTTTTACATGAGATTAGGTGGGAGTTTTAACAAGGCCAGTAGATTGCAAATCTCTTTGGCAGAATGCACAAAAGAGCTGTGTGTGTGTGTGTAGGTGAATATATATATATCGGAAATACATTTTCAGATAAAGAAAATGTTAATGTATAACTCATTTAAAGAACTATGAGGTGGTGCTATGATAGGTAATGAACATAGGAACATACCAACTGTAAACAGTTTTCTTCAAGACTTTTCTTTATCTGCCCATGTCTTATCTGTAATCTGTAATACAACCATCAAACATTTGATCTATTGCATAATACAGAATAATACGTTAGGCACAATGCCATAATATTATTCACACACCTAAGTTACTTTAGGTTACTATTTGATCTATGATTAGGTCAGACATTAAGCATCTGTGCATTTTTATAGTGATAACTGTTAATACCCATTGTTTAGGTAATAGCCACTGATTCAGCTACTGTCCTCACTTATAGCTTCTAATTATAAATGTCAAGAGTAGTACACACTTTATGGTTCTGTACAATAAGTTATTTCATAGTACAATATTTACTATACAACTTGGAAAATCATTTTATTTATCTAATCAGAGTGATGTCTACTCACTTAACCACTTGTTTTTTCTACGTTTATCACCAATTGTCATCATCAAGGTGATGTCTGTTACTATATAAACTACCTAACTAATTTTACATTAGGATGTTTCTTGCTAATTATTTACAAATGATTTTTTCAGCAGTGTTACACTTATTCAGAGTTATTAAGATTAGGATGACACTTCTGTGAGTTTTCAATAACACAGATGTATTAAAGAAATAAAGCCAACATTTAATAGAACTCAACAAATATTTAAATTGAGACTGTCCCCAGTCTTAAAATACAATAAAAAGATTTTATTTTACATGGTGATTTACAGTATAAAGATAAAATACCACGAGACTGGGAACATATGTTGTGCATTTTTTTACATCTTACTGCATCATCATCAGGAATGCAATATTTTGCATGACTTAAGACCTACATATATACACACACGCACTCAAAAATCACATGTTCAAACTTAAATACAATTTAACTTATAGAATTTCATGCCATCTATTAAAGGCATTTCCCCCTGGTCCTTCATCCTTATTTATTACTTTCAAATTACTTTTTATTACATTTTATTATTTCATTAGATACATGGGTATTATTACTATTGATTCTTGCAGGTTGTGCTAAAATAACTTTTTTCCCCATTAAATCGTGTTTTAGTTTCATTAGTATGTTCAGCTGAAGGAGAGATCTTTCTATCATTATTTCTAACATTTCTTTTGTGTTTATTTATTCAGTATTTTAGATTTTTTTAGTTTCTTCTATATTGTTATTTCCACATTTGTATGATATTTTGTATGTACCTGTTTCTCCCATTAAACCAATTTTATCTGTAGTTACATTAAGAATCTGACTAACCTTGTTCATAGGTCTATCTATATTGCAAAAAAAAAAAAATAATATATATATATATATATTAAATTGTTGCATTATTTGATCAGATAAACCAGGTTTAAATGGTAACACAAGCCTTTCTCCCTTAATTTTTTCAGTAAATAGTTTTAATGTAATATTTTTGATCCCCATTAATAAATTCTTGACAGCTTTGTCAGCAGTATCAGGAATAACCCTCTCTGCATGGGCAACTTTTACTGCAAATATCATGTGGTTTTTAGTGACTTCCATTCAAAATTTAATTAAACTACTTTTTGTTTGTTATACTAATTAGTATAGCATAAAATCATAGTTAATAACCCTTATTTTAATCATATGCAAGTTTTAAGTTCTTAATTTTATTAGGCAATATTAAAAGAATCTTGAATTTCCCCAGATGTGAGAAATGTGACATTTTTTCTCAAGGCATTCCCTCTTCTATAATTTATTCACCACCTCTCCAATAAATACAAAATTTAAAGTAGGTTACTCACAATAATATCATCATCTCTCAGACAAAGCATAATTTTCTTAGCCTTCAATCTTGTTTAGTTACAGAGCCATCAAATAGAAAATCAGACCCCTCTTGTCACACCCACCAGTCACATTCTCTTTTTCAGGATTTGTTAATAGTTCTCTCTTATGTTTAGTACTATATTATTTATAACCAATAGAAAGCCAAAATTTTCGTCTATTAAATGACTTATTATAGTATGTTGTTTTCTGTACAGAGAATTGTCAATTTCTTTTTAAGTACAAGCTTTGTTCCCACAGACACCGATTAGCTTGAATGAGTTTGTAATGGCTCTTGTTGCATAGTTAGAAAGTCAGAAAAATTATGATAGTTATGGGACATTGTCTGCTTTTTGCATGTATTATTCTGTTTTTTTGTGCATTTTGTAATTAAATAAAAATAATTTACTGCACTTCTACCATTAGTATAAAAAAGGTAGGTAAAAGGGTCATCAACAGTCAACAGCAAAAAAAAGCCCAAGTACGTACTTTATTTCTTGTTTTTCATGTGTAGTCTTTATTCTTCTGATTTTCCCAATGTACATATAATGGCAGGTGTCACAAGAAGTTGGTAAACAACACTGATGGTGTACTGAGATTTGAAAGTTGGCTTTTGAGAGTTGGACCTGGCCGTTCTGTAACTTTAATCGGCAGTTTAGATTTCCTGATTGTAGGTTTTATTTTCTTGGAGATAGTTTCATCAGTTAGAGGTACCATAAAAGTAATTTTTTTTTGTTTGTGTTATCTTTGGAAAATTGTTTTTTTTTCCTTCTTGTTTATCTGTGTTTTTTTCACATTTGAAGTGCAATTCTGATTTTTGCATGTCATGATCCTTTAAAATTTGTTCAATGTAAAAAGGTAGATATTCATTGCTTAGAAGGAGCAATTTTAGTTCAGAGCATGTAATGTTTATTTTCACTACAGTTCCAATCAATTAGTTTTAGTTCTCCACTCTTGGAGACATTAGGATGATGTGAATTGAAGTTTAAGGAAAAGAGGTTTTCTAATTGGTTTGTGAAACAAGGTAGATTGTATATTATTGTCATTTTTGATCTTTAAAGTAATATCGGGTAACTCTTGTCATTCGAGTGATTCAGGGCAATGTTGGATGTTGAAGTTTATGAAACTTAGAAAAGTCTAAAAATTTGATTAAGGAAGGCTATGGTTCCATAGTCCTAACACATCATCGATGTATCTAAGCCAGAGATAAGGGGCAGTGTTGGTATTTTAATGCCACTTGTCAAGTCCTGTTGCTTCAAAATTATACATAAATATTATGGCATAAATAATAGTAGCACAATTACCCATTGCAACACTACTTAGTTGGAGATATATTTTGTTGTCAAAATGAAAATATTCATTGTGAAGGATGAAATGTAAGATTTATCTGACAGTGTCTATTGTCAGTCTGTACTTCTCCAAATTGTTTATGTGATTCAACATGAATTCACAAACTGCATTGATTCCACTTTCTGTCTGTATAGATAGGTAGAGAACAATGTTTTCAATGTAAAGAACCATAATTTAATAACAGCACTAAAATTGTAATGCATAAGCCAAGATGGAGTTTCGGTTACACTGCCATATGCCGAAACTATGGGTCTTAGTGGCATATCCGGTTTATGTTCTTTTGGTACATAAACCATATAATTCTGGATTGCAGCTATTAGAGGGTTTAAGTTCCTCTAGAAGCTTTTTAGTTCATAGATAATCTCATGTATTTCCAGTATTAAAATATCTTTTATACACCAATATGCACTACATACATTAGATAATACTATTTATATGTTGTTTTGTGTGTAGGATTGGTATTTGGGCAAGGTTAAAGAACAGTGTTTCAGTCAACAAGCATGTGTGAAGGAATGTGCCCAGTTATTAGCCAAACTCAATTATGAAGATGCTCTAACTGTAATGGTGGCAAAGGTATGTTCTTAATTGAATGTATTTGTTTTATAAATAAAAGCGGAGGACAAAAAAAAGAAATAATAGACTAGTTCTGTTACTTTTATCTTTGTTTCCTTAAAGAAATTTTATAAAATTTTATTAGATAAAAGTAAAACTGTTACATTAATGAATTTTATGTATTCATCTGGAATAATATTGTTGCGTCAGCGAGTCACATGACCGCGTGACGCAACGTTTCTAGAATTAT